GATGCGATATGTTATGCTGGCATCCAAAGCGAGAAACCTGCAATGTCCCATGATTATTGAAGCAGGTAACCTTAGAGCTATTAGACAACTCATTCCGTGACCGAGACTAGGTTACGCGGTTCTCACGTCGATACATCGCGCGGCGCCTCGTTCTGGTTGGTCCAGCGACTCGAAATTCGGCAGTACCTCGCCTTGTTGCATCTTTTTGGGATGTGAGAGCCGTTCGCCATTGGGCTGAGGCCGCATACTGCGTCATGTGGTGTAGCAAACAGAAGCTGTCCGCATGCTCTTAATCAGAACCTTTGTTCACCGCAACGGGTTTTCTTCTAATCGATTTCTCCGAGTAAGAGTTTCGAAGAATCCACCACCTGGATCGACGGATCCATGCACGTAATTGGAGGTGGATGGATGGGTAGGTATTCCTACCTAGTCCGAATCAGAAAATCCATGGCTTCGGCTGCCAAGCTCGAGTGGCGTTATTCCGAAGGAGCCATGCTCTACCCGCCCGGTCCTAAGTAAGGGATCACTTAGACTTCTTATGTCGACACTTCCAAATCCACGTGGAGTAAGGCGCAAGCCAGACGGGATGAATCATGTCCACTGATTCCCATGGCACCTGTTTGGCTGTCCAAGTTCTACCCAATCTTCCCATGAGTACCTAGCCTGTTTGTTACTCGCAGCCACATATTAAATCACTCGCCCGAGGCTACTTGGCCAGCTCGAGTGAGCAAGCTCAAAGATGCCTGTCTAGGCGTCGAGGCCTATCAGCTAGCGCTGAAAACAACAGGAGGAACGAAAAGACGGTCAGCCTATGATCCTGAATTGCACTTCTGTGTGCATTCTATCACTTATCAGGTGCCTCGGTCGGTGTTTCTATCTGGTGAGGCTCACTTGGCCATGTAGGCTGAGGGGGAGCCTGCTGTCAAGGGTTGTATTGTATTGTATACCTGCAAGAGACCGGGACCTGGGGTCGATCATTTTTTTTTCTTCAACCCATTTTTAGAAGCAACTCTGCTACGACCTCTCGGCATCTCGTCGGTTTCCCAAATAGAAATTGATAATCCTCCACTCGATAATGCCGTGCCTTTCTTGACATCTATAAGGAAGTATCGAGGAACGAAAGCTGCCATTTTGCAGTCTGTTCCTTTAGACGTAACGCTTCTCATGTTGAGCGGGAAGGCCCAAAGGACCTATGATAGTCGGATCAGTCAGACCGAGCCTGTCCTGGACTTCTTCTGGATGCACGGAAGCAGTCGTCTGGATAGACAACTCTGGATAGGGCGAACACCCGGCACTGAGGTCCTAAACAAACCGCAACATTAATTTGCCTTCCCGCCCAAGCTTCTACTTCCTTGAACCGTATCTTCTTGCCGTGTAACACAGGAAACGAACGAAGGCCAGCTCGGGACTCGCCAATATCCCCAGTCCCAAGACATCCATTATCTCCCAGTCCGTTCCGACTCAAGGTATATCCAAGATACCCCACACACATATGCACTGCTTGCCCATCGCCAAGCGGCCAATGGCTAAGGATACATGCAACCACCCAACTGACAATACCTTAGGTACCCATACTCCTAATGCCTATATACACTATCACCCCTTCGCTCGCTACCAGCCGTTGTGCAGATCGCGTGGCCATTTGTATGATTTATATGTGACTATCAAGCGAAGGTTGCGGATACGTGCATTCCTAAGCTCGCTCGATATCACCTCTTCTATCAGAGCTTCGATACTCCAACACGGTCTGTCTCTCGCCGTGCTCATTGCCTCACCTCGCGCTTAAGTCGCCCTCGAATCTACATAATTCTTAATTCGACCTACGTCCTCCACTCAGCATCTACAGCTGGTCCTACCATATCCTTTTGATTAATGAGCCTATGCCACCACTACCTTACGCACCTAAATATTCAATTGATACACGATACAGTCCCTAGCGACTCGACCTCCTCCCTCTTCTGTTAGCAGTAGTCCGGTTATTCATTCATTGGCACTGAGTAAAGCCCATACAAATCCCCTCTTGTCCCGTCTCTAATTTAGGTACTAGTCGACACCGTCTTCACGCTTTCCTTTTCCTCAGCAAACGCAGTCTCGCACAGGATTCCCTTCATTTCTTGACGCCGGCGCCTGGCTGCCCGCCATCGATACGCACGTCGAGTATTAGCTCAATCTCATTTATGGCGGCGGCATGTTGATTTGCGCTGGATCCCTTTAAAGTTGGATACTTCGCTTTAAGATCAGGCCAAAAGTCGTTGTACGGCAGAGAGCTATACGTGTGTTGAAACTTCTATGACCATTCACTCAATACTAAGAACATTGCGGCAATAGTGATGGATGGAACGGTACATAGTGATCCTGATGGAAGCGGCCATATAGTTGCCTCGGGGGTGCTTACAAAGCAAAACATCGAGACCATCGTCATCTTCGAACGGTTAGGTGCCGCCTTATCTGTCACCGGAGTCATCCTTATTTTCATCGCCTTTGCGGCTTTCAAACGGCTCCGCACCGTACCGAACACTTTTATCGTCTTCGCATCCTTCGCCAACCTGGGAGCCAGTATCGCATGTCTGATAGGGTATTCAGGGGTTAAAGCGGGCTCGGGCAGCCGCCTGTGCCAGGCGCAGGCCTTCATGTTCGAACTGTTAGTTCACCACAACTCTTTTACAAAAACAATACAAGGGGAGGATGGTGGAATTCTAGTATTCTCACTAACATCGTCAGGTTTATGCAATCAGATCCGTGGTGGTCTTTCGCCATGGCCGTCAATGTGTACATGGTCTTCTTCTTCTCCGCAAATCCAAAGAGCTTTCTTCGCTACTGGTGGGCGTATTGCCTCGTCTGCTATGGGGTTCCCTTCATACCTTCCTTGTGGTTGCTTATTGTTCGTGGTGGCGATGGGCAGAACGTATACGGAAATGCGACTGTAAGCCGGCACCTAGCATCGACAATACCCACCACGACGTTACACTATACCTACTGACATCAATTTAGATCTGGTGTTGGATAGATAAGGACTGGTCCAACCTGCGCATATACACGTATTACCTCCCGATCTGGGTTTGCATTATCCTCTCGACGTGCATATATGTGGCGGTGGGCTACTACGTCTTTAAGCAACGCAACCAGCTGCGAAACTTATCCCTCAGTAATCCGGCACGCGATCCGCCAACTCGTCGCGACTCCGGGGAGAAGGTTAGCAAGTTATAATTCCCAACGTAGCATCAGACGGGCTAACGATAATCTAGACACTTTTTACGAACGCAGCTGTTATGGGCAGGATCAACAGAGAGGTCGTCCAAATTACGACGGTGAACTCGGCGACCGAACAAGAAGTAGGCGGACTATCATCGGCCGGCGCCACGCCCATGAACTGGTTCAATGGACCACCGGACGATAACAGTTCGCACATCGAGAGCCCGACAACACCTGTCGTATCGCGGCCGTCGAACCCGTATCAGACGGTGACCCGCATATCGGCAGACCCGGCGCCGCGGGAGGGCCTTGTCGCGCAGGCGCGCGGCAACTTCCAACGGTGGTGCAGCCGGTTCAACAACATGGACCCGGTGAAGCTGGCGTACCTGCGGACGTCGTTCGTGTTCGCCATCAGCGTGTTCGTGACATGGACTCCCAGCAGCATCAACCGCGTGCACGACCTGGTGTACACGGAGAACGCTAGCTTCGCGCTCAACCTGGCCAGCGCCGTGGTGTTACCGCTCCAGGGCGTATGGAATGCCGTCATCTTCTTCTCGACATCATGGAGGTCCCTGCGCCACGAGGTCCGCGCCTGCGTCGAGAGCTGGAAGGGCATCCCTCGTGGCCATCGTACTGCGACTGCCGTCCGTGATGAGCGCGAGCGCGAACGCGCCGTCCAACTTGCTAGGCGCATGACGCGGGGGCAGAACGGCACCAGCGACGACGCGGGCAGCGACATCAGCGCCGCCAGCACACTCCCCGGGAACGGCTCCTGCGGGGGTAGGGTTCGGGTTATCCGCGACGGCTCGCTGACCAGTCTACGGCTCTAAATGCCGAAAGGCGAAGCCGGCTCTATAAGAACAATCAATCACTGGATGACGATATTTTCTTTGGTAACGCAATAATTGGGAGTTTTTAGTAAAAAGGCGCGTCGTCGTCCTGGACAGACACATATACAGCGCCGATGTACACAAAAGGCCAAGAGCTAAGGTGGCCGTGGCTATCGCACAGCACTCGACATATACAGATTACCCCGGCCGCCTGTTTGGGTATGACGTGCCTAAGGAGGCAGTTAGATATACCGGATCGAATACAGATGGCTTCATAGGAATTGCTCGGTTTAGGCAAGCGGCGAGTACGTGCCTTATTAGGTCAGTTGGTTGGTCAGCTGGCTTGGTCGGTCAGTTTTTGATGAAACGAACTCTTTTGCTTCTGGGTCTGGGAACTTGGAACGTTTGGATTGGGAGGAATTGGATACATTAAACGGTCTACACACATGCCCCCACGTAAGGGTAACCTATACTATTTCCTATACGTAAGTAAATGCTAAGTGCTAATTAGAATTACGACGAGGGCTACTGAAATCTGCGTGGTGTGATAACGAGTACCTGTTATGGTGATTCTGTGCTTGTCTTGCTGGTGATATTGTTTTGAGATGTGAGGCTGCCTTGGCGGTGGCCTTCTATCCTGCTCTCTTTGTATATATCCTAGATACCTACCTAAGGTAGTGTATTAAATTTCAACGTTCAGGTACTCAACCCCTTTCCCTTGCACGAACTGCTGGTCTGGGAAGGGGTATTCTTTAATGTGTGTAGACGTGTAGCCTTCATAATATCTCGGCCATCTTACAAAAAATTCCTGTGCGTAACGACATTGTTTTTTCGGCGTCTTCGGTTGTGTTTCATGACCACGGAAATGCCGTACCCGCTATAACCATGAGTTGGAACCGTGATTGTGCTCGCCCAAACTTACAAACAACCCCACTCCAATACATTTCTTTACAATGGAAAAAGAAAAACAAAGGAGACTCCCGAATCAGGGAGTCGAACCCCGAGCTCGACGATGATTCACATCCGTTTTGAGAAACGCGCCGAATGTTAGCCATTACACCAATTCGGGCTACCATGGGCTGTCAAAGCTGGGCGTTGATGAAAGGGAAATCAGCTAAATGACTTTCTATTTACCAGGGCAGCTAGTTGGTCTATGTCAGAAGAAGAAACACGTCGGTTATGTATCCGTTACAGAACTCTTTAGAAGCCTGCAAGTGGCGATAATTTACTTACCATTAACCATTTTAAACCCCTTTTTTCTTTCTCCTATACGGTGGAAAAATTGGATTAGGCTGCGAAGTCTAGAGTGAGAAGATCCGGCATATTCTTTTGCCTCATTTATTACGGCTCTTCATTTGGATTTCTTATTTGCATCTAATGGGTATTGTTAGATCATTGTAACTTCATGCCTAGTTAGATATTCAGACTTCACGAGAATTAATGTAGGTATTGAGATAAATTACAGTACATCCCTTCGGCAGAACGCTAGACTGGAGATCTTTACACGGGAAGGTTTAGTTACCGTGTCCACTAACGTACCCAATGTATGAAAATAGAAGCAATTTCCCAGATGGCTAGAGCTCAGTAGATTCGTAAGAGAGTGGGCTCTGTGGTATGAAATAGGATGGTATACCATTCGGAGCTCGTTGTTCAAGTTAAGTGTGGTTTGAATGTATTCTATCTATCATTATCTTCCGGAGAAGGGTTGCATTTATCATCATGAATAATATCACGAGAATCTGGTTCTTCGTCAAGTCCTCAGTATAAAGCGGTTGAAGACTAACTAGTTAGAACATGAGCTATGTCATACTGGGGAACGAGAGGGATTCATCATGAGATAGTAGGCTATGAGCTGCAACATTTTATAAGTCACCGGTGCGATGTAAATATATGATTTTACGTATCATAATATCTCTGTTTGGCAGATAGAAATCTATGAATTCCAAGCAACTACTGAGGTACCTCTTGTCATAAGTTCATTCATCCACCCCGACCCGCCCAGTTACCTCGTACATTTCTTCATACCCGTATCCGTAACGCCTGAGCCACTCAACGCCGGGGTATCATTTGCCTATTCAATCCTGGACTTGAAGACGGACACCCCTCCATCTAAGCTATCATCAAGACCCCGCCTCTTTCGTATAACATATCTCCGGGATATCTGCTTTCTCTAGAATCGTGGGGTCTTTGCGGAATTTCTGAGTCTGCACAACGTCTTTCAAGGTACGCAGAACGTTCCTTTCGACGTAGGAGTAGGCTCCCTCTGCGCCGATGGGGGCAGACATGACCTTTTCTAGATAGCGAAGGGCACTCTGTAGTGACTTCTCTTTTTCCTCGTCAGACCGCACACCGTTGGAGTCGACTGCTTGAGTGACGAGGGCCGGTGAATATGTAACCTGCACTGCCGTATTTCCGTCAATTCCGTCCTTGTTCAGGGATTCGCATAGAGACTGCCTGACGTTGTCGTCTAGAGTTGTCCACGCCCGGGAATATAACTCAGCAGTATCTCGATCAGCAACGCTGCTCATACATAAGATTCGGGCAAAGGCTCGGCTATCCTTTTCGTTCAGGTCGAGCTCACGGAACCCCTTGGTGCGCAGCAAACCAAGCCGGCTCTTCAGTACCAGGTCATACCCTTGACGCAAATTCAACTCGCCCGTGATTATGCCTAATCCGGCGTCGTAAACGGCGCGGTAAGCGTCGTAGTTGGATTGAGTAAGCTTCTTCGCACAGGTCCAATCCAAGTGACCAGCTGCGCCGGCGATATCGAGCAGCTGTTCCATGAACCGGAGCTTGAAACTGAGCGGGTGGCCTTTCATAATCTGCAGGGTCTCCAGGGCTGCGGGCACGTTCTCGGCCTGGGCTAGCTGTCCAAAATTGAAATCGGCGCCCAGCCGCATGCCGCGGATGATGTCATCTTTGTACCCCGGCGTGAGGCGATCCAGGCACCCCACAAGTCCCACCTCGACCGCCTTGATCAAGATCATGTCGTGGTTCTCGGTGCCGATCTTCTCGCCCGTCTTCTTCTCCCAGTCGACGGCGAGCTGTTTGTCCTTGCCGATGTCGTTGATTATCACGGACATGATAAGCGCGTACAGTTCTTCCGGGTTTTCAAAGGTCTCCTCGTAAACTTGACGGATAGCCTGGAACGAGTCACGGGAAAGCTCCAGGCCGTGGTCCTGGTGGCAGACCACCACGTCGTACTGGTCCCGGTATATCCACTTCAGAGTAAGGAGGCTGATGAGGGTGCGATTGACCTCGTCGTGATCGTGGTCGTCCGGGTATAAAATCTTTGACGGGGAGACCCAATCCAGATGCTTATCGCTTTTTCTGCCGCCGACAGAGTAAGCGTAGTTGAGTCGGCGCAGCTCATTCTTGAAGTCGCTGTGGACGAGGAGGAGCAGATCCCGGTCGGAGAGCGCAAATAGCTCGTGCGGCCGGTGAACGTAGTCGCGAAGCGTCGCTGTGGGATAGGACATTCTTAGGAGTGTTCTGAAGACTCTGGAAAAATGAGACTTGAGAACTGTGAGAAACTTGAAGGTCTTCATATGGTGAGCCCAGCCTTGGACTGAGGGCAGTCCTACAGACATAACGGGCATAACGGGGGGCTGTGCGGTCGCTATATGGTGAACTTGCAGGGATGTGACTGTGGGTGTTTGTGGCTGCGATATCAGCTGATAAGGTCCGGCTGGCTAGGCTGGCTTAGGTACGTGACTATTGTGATTGTGTGTTCTCATTCGGAGTCACGGCGACACTGCGAAAGGAAAAACTGAGGTCCTGTGCTAAAAGGCGCTGTGAATCCAGGCGAGCCAGGCTTCTAGCCCATTTTATCCAATCACCCATCGATATCGGTTCAGCAAGTGGATCCAGCTGGCAGCTTTATCGGTAACACCCAACACCCATTCCCAAATGTCGATAGGTTAGGCAGATTTTCAGTTATCCAGTCATGGTCATCACTTCAATCTGAAAAGGGGTCAATTTTCCAGATCCTACCTAACTATTCCGTACCTCCTAAATGATCCCCAGGAAATCATAAAATCATATACTCCGAATGGTACCCCTGTTATGAGTGGTAACCTAGTGTATTTTGCCACTGCCCTAGACTTCAGTCACTATTTTGCAAATAGGAGTCGCGTTCATCTGACTAGAGGTCAAGTTACCTCACCTAGGTCAGATTGTGACAATATTCTCACCCATAATTTTTTCTTGTTGAATGATTGGGACGGCAGTCGCCTATGCCATCATACAGTCATTGAAAGTTTGGTACAGACAGCAACTAGGACGTGTGTAGGTGGTACAGCGAGTTCATTTACAAACCTCCCTCCTAACCCTACGTCTAGGTACCTAGTTATTGCGGAAACTTGCTTCCATCTTTCATTACTACCAATGACCGAGCCGCATCATCTCCCCACTCCCGAAAGTGTGGAATAGTCACTAGTATACTGTAATATCCACTGTCACTCCCCTAGTTCGCCATCCCGGCCTAAGGCTCTTCTCAGATACCTCAGCTTCAGAGTATAGCGGTGTATACCTTCCATGACCAACTTGTGGAATTGCCAACCACTACTGTCGTATCATCCGGTATTCCAAATTTTGGTGAGAACTATTGCATCAAAGCATGACCTCCAAATGTATCATGACCTAGACTATCAGCGTCAGGAGCCGAAGGACTTAATATTTTAAGGTGATGCTAATCACACAACTTACTAATAAAGCACCGCCCACCAAGACCACCATAGACAGAAATGGAGCTAACTGATGATACAGGAACCAACAGTGGAGAGTAGCCACTTGACCTCGTATAAACAAGTGTATTATTCTATGTTGAGGGTCTACCTAAGACAATCTATTCAATATAATACCACATCACCAACACCGGATCAGATCAAGTATCGGCATCAGCATCAAGCATGAACTTCTGCACAAGGGCCGCGATCGCCGCAGTTCCCTCCCTCCTCGCGCCCCCGGGCATATTAGTGTAGAATGCAGCATCCTTTTTGGTGACAGCCCTGGAGGCCCAAGTTTCCAAGTCGGCCAGACTCGGGCGATCCGCCGGGTTGCTCGCCATGCATCCGGCAACGACGAGCCTCAAGGCTTCTTCCGTGTCGGGACATGGATCCGGGATGCCCATTTCTTCGTCCGCTAGTATGCCCGAAGCAGGAGTTGGGACGCTTCTGCCGCGACGGAGCCTGGTCATGTCGACTTCTATCTCCTCGCCGGTGTATTTTGAGTCTACGAGCAGCAGGATCATAGTCGCCATCATCTAGTAGCCTTGTTGTTAGTTTCTCTTGATGCTTTCTTCGTGGACAATTTTTCACATACGATTCCTATGTCCAATATATTCCGTTGTTCTCCTGTTCCGCTCTCCGTTCCCTCTCCGCCGCGGCTATACGTGAAGTTAGCCTTGCGACTGATCAAGGAATCGTATATAATATATAGTAAAACCTACATTCGTGCAGCCAGCCCAAAGTCAATAAGCTTCATTATGGGAGTTGTGAAATGTTCGGCGTCTCTCTCGAATGAGCCAAATACAAAATTGGCACCGTGTATATCATTACTGGCGGGCGATGAGTATTTAAATTTCGGTTGATCAAATCAATTAGTATCAGAGACTTACTGTGCTATCCCAGTTGGTGATCCAGCTTGTCTGGCGGCTGTTTCGCTCGCATCAGGGTTCTCCGACGGCCACGCCATGGCAATACATGCGCGAATCACTGTCAGAAACAAAACTTAGTTCTCTATCATTCTTTCAAATTCGTCCATCAAAAATGAGGTGTACTGACTACATAGGAATACAGTCCAAAGTAAGCGGTTCGGCAGACTATTATGTCCGGCACGTTTCAGCCGCCCCATGAAAGTTGACAGCGTCCCGTTCTCAAGGGTATCCAAGTAAATCCATTCCCATCCTTGCTCCTGCGCTGCAGGAGCTAGAGGGTCGGCTAGACTATTACGCATGCGCACGATGTGCCTGCAGTTTTGCAGCCTCTACGAGTCGCAGGTGAATTAGCGATTCTTGATCACCTTAAACTGTGCCAACTATGTAAATAGTTACCTGAAGGATTCTCTTCT